CTGGGACGTAAACTGTGGTCAGCCACATGCGAGTGTCTGTTGCCTTAACCACCATGCCACCAACTGGTCCCATAAGCAGGGATTTTTGAAGAGTCGGAGCCAGGGCCTTTTTCTCTCAGCTGGTACATGATCACCTATCTTAGCTTTCAAAAGAGTTCAAGAATTACTTCCCATCCACAAAAGACCCCTGAACTGGCAAGGAATGGATCCATAACCCATTTGTTAGTAAGCCAAGTAAAGCAACTTTGTCCACACTAGAAGAGATCAACTACTTGAGATCGCAAAAGATGGCAGTATTAAAAGTGTGAGGGCGAGCAGGTGGAATTCCAAAGTAGCTGACCAACAATTTAAGTCCAGAACTGGGGCCTTGAGAATCATGCTGGGCGTGTGTGTACCTGTGTGCCCTAAATCCTAGAAGGAGAATAGAAAAGGGATGATTTCTTACTTTTTTACTCTCTGGTAAGTGAATGCAATTATGGCAATTAATCAATCAATCAATCTGTCGATCAGCCAGTAAGCAAGCACGTATGCACCAAGTGTTAATGGATTCATTGCTTAACAAAGAAAAGGTATGTTTGAGGACTAGCCAGGTGGCATGGTGGTTAAGGCGACTTGATATGTGACTGACTCCCCAGTTTGGAAAACACACCAGGCATGTGTGTGTGTGTGTGCATGCCCAAAATCTCAAGAAGAGAATAGAGGAGAAGGGACTGCAGGGTGGCCATCCCCACTGGGAGGTGGGGGAGATTTCTCACTTTCTCTCTCTTTCCAGCAAGCTCATGTGCCATATAGCAAAATAAATAAAAATATATATGATACAACTTCATATGTTCTGGATTAACGTCAAGGTGAAATATTCTGAGATTGCCACAAAAATATTGATAAAGCTTGCTTCCATTTCTAATATTCTAGACAGAGGATTGGAAATGTAGCCATTGTATTTGTGTAAGCTCTGCTTTCCTCCTTCACTTTGTTTCATCAAAACCTAATTTAACAATCACCTCTCTACCCTGCTTTATTTTATCACTTCCAGGGTGAGTAGGTCTTCTCTGTGCTGCTCCAACATTCAGGCATTACTTCTCTGGAATTAGTGATTCACTTGCCCATTGACCTCAGTAGGTTTTGATTGACATCAGCAAACAATGGCTATGGGCCAAATTTGGCCCACTATCTCTGTAAATAAAGTTTTATTGGAATACAGCCAAACTTACTTGTTCGTGTAATCTGTGGCTACACTTTTGCTGCCGTTGAAAAGCTGAGTTGAGACAGATCATGCAGCTTGTGAAGCCTAAAATATTCACTGTCTGGCGCTTTACAGAAAAAAAATTTTTTTTCCTAATCTGTGAGTTGTTTTATTAATTTTTATTTTGGCTGTTTCTTGCACATGTGTAGTCCACTTCCGGTGCTGAGTAAATTTTTTGTCAGAAAGAAATGCAGGTAGGCCAGTCTGAGGTGTGGTGGTTAAGGCAGCTGGATCCCACATGGCCACTATGCAGTTTGAATCCTAGACCCAGAGGCTTGAAAAACAAGCTGGGTGCAAATTGTGCATGTGCCCTAAATCCCAGAAGGAAAAATGGAGAAGGGATTGCAACATGACCATACCCTACAGGGGTTGCGTTCTCATGAAATCTTTCTCTCTCTTTCTGGCAATTGCACATGCCCTGTAGCAAATTATTTTTTTAAAAAAAAATACAGGTATGAGAAATATGATAACTGAAATGAGACATGAGTGATTTGAAGATGTGTTCCAGTTCTACTGGTAGACTCCGTAAGAGTAAAATCCAACCAAGCTTTATTTTCACCTTTTTTTTTTGTATTTTTTCTTGATTCCTCCCTGGTTAAATTAATTGCTCTCTTATGTACATAAATCTATAACAAAATTCAAGTGTTTATTCAATTTGAGTGTATTTCTATTACTATGTGAATTCCTTGAAGTCAGAGAACTGTTTAGTCCTATATAAATATAAATGAATATTTGTAGAACTGAACTGAGAAGGCTTTGTTTTAGAGAAAATTATTATTATTACTTTTTTTTTGAAAGAGAGATTTTTGCTATAGTGCTCATGTGCTCGCCAGAGGGGCAGAGACAGACAGAAAGTGAGACATCATCCCCCAGGGGGATGGCCACTTCCGCAATCCCTTCTCCATTCTCCTCTTGGGATTTTGGGCACGCACATGTGCCTGGTGTGAGTTTTAAGCCACCAGGTCCAAGACTTGAACCATAGTCAACTATGTGGGAATCCAGCAACGTACCCATTGCACCATTTGCTAGTCCCGAGAGCACGATTCTTTAAATTATTTTTATATTATATTAATGTAATACCTTTTAAAAAAAATACTGAAAAGATGGAATGAACGTTATCTTCTATAAATCTACAACCCTGAAGTAAACACTGATTGGTGTCTACACATTTATGCTTCTTTCCTTTTTTCCTTCTCTCTTTCACATACACATACATACTCATTATAGAGTTCACTCACATAATATAAGCATATACTTTATTAATTAATTTATTTATTTTAGGGAGAGATTTCCACTGTAGCACTTGCCGGGGAGACAGAGAGACAGATAGTAAGAAATGATCCCCAGGGGGATGGCATGCCACAATCCCTTTTCCTTTATTCTCCTCTCGGGATTTTGGGCACGAACACACACAAACCTAGCATGAGTTTCAAGTCGCCAGGTCTGGGACTTGATCCGCAATCAGCTACATGGGAGTCCAGCGACATAACCATTGTGCCATCTGCTGGTCCCGTAAGCATACACTTTTAAAAAAGGAATATACTGTCCTGCAACTTTCTTTTTTCACTTCTAAGTATGTAAGTGGTATACATAGAAGTGCTTCATTCTTTTCAGTGGCTATTTGGTATTTCTAGAATACTGATACCACAGTATTTTTAAGCAGGCCCTATGATGGACAGTTAGGTTGTTAATGTATTTTCGGTCTAACAATGCTATAGTAAATATCCTTGTACACGTCTTTCTGTATTTCCAATTCTATATCCATAGTATAAATTTGAAATTACAATTGCTCTATAAAATGGTATAGGAATTTAAAGTTTTTATGTATATACATTATTAAATGACTGTAATTAATCTTTTCTCAAGCAGGATATTAAGAGACTTATCTTCTCACCTCTGTATAACATTGTATATTATTTCATTCTAGTCGAGTTAAAATGACATCTTATTTAATTACGGTTTTTCATTTGGAGGGAGGTTTTGTATATGTTTCTTGTCCTTTTTTCCTACTGTTAATGCCTTTCCAGTCTTTAGTCTATTTCTTATTTTGACTGCTAAAATTTTTTTGTGATACAGAAGCATTTTTACATATTGGAGAATGGGTGATCCATCAGTTATGTTACCATGCAGATGTTTTACATTTTATGTAGTTCGGGCCAGTAGGTAGCATGGTGGTTAAAGCTCTGGACTCCCACATGGTGACTGAGGTTCAAGTCCTGTAGCTGGCAGCTTGCTTTCTCACTTAACTCTCTCTCTGGTCAAATTAAAAAATAGTGATATTAAATATAATTATATAAATCTTTAAAACATTTGATATAGTCAACTTTATCAGTCTGTATCATGTTTTGAATGTCCTGCTTCAATTAAAGAGTACAGAAAATTAACCCACATTTTCTTTATTTTATTGTTGAATATTTTATTATTAAAAATGCTGTCCACTTAGAATTATTTTGTATTAGGCGTCAGGTAGATATTAAGACTTTTACTTTAAGTGGTCAATTCTATTATTTTATTTTTAGAAAGATTTTTGCGATAGAGTGCGTGCACTTACTGAAGAGACAAAGAGAAACAGAGACAGAAAGGAAGAAATCTCCCCCCAGGAGGAATGGTCACACTCCAATCCCTTCTCCATTTTTCTCTCATGATTTTGGGCATACATGCACACATGCCTAACATGTGTTTCAAGCTGCCAGGTCTGGGACTCGAACCATAGTTGGCCATTAGGGAGTCCAGTTGACATAACCATTATCCCATCTGCTGGTCCCCAAGTGGTCAATTCTAGACAGTGTGTTTACATATACTTAATGTGAGGAGAAAAAAAAGTCAGAAATGCCTTCTATATTTTTAGCTTGATTATTTTCTCTTGTGTTTTTTTTTTTTTTAAAGTTTTTATTTCTTTATTTCCTCAATGAGTGAGAAAGACAGTATGCACACACCCTCAGCAGGATCTTGTTGTGGCAGTTCATCCCTAGCTTCTGCCAGCCCCCATGGGTACACATGTGCTCAGTATACTCAGGGAGATCTCAAATGGGAACCAGAACCTTCCTGCAAGGGTCACCCTTGTAAAGTGTCATAGTTCACCACTGGGCCAACATCTGACCCCTTTTTATATTTTAAAAAGCATTACAGACCAAAGAAATATATTTAAAACCAAAAGTCACCTGATGTCATGCTATTATAAAATTGAAATTTCATTTTTCACTCTTGAAGTTTCTGTCCACATTTATTTTATGTATAAGAAAGATTTTAGGGGCCCAGCAGATGGTGTAATGGTTATGTTGCTGGACTCCCCATGTGTCGACTGCAGTTTTTGACCCGGCGGCTTAAAGATCCCAACAGGCACATGTGTGTTGCCATCCCCTGGGGGTGATTTCACACTTTATGTCACTCTGTCTCTCTCTCTCTGGTGAGCACACGCGCCCTATAGCAAAAATTCTCTCAAAAAGAAATGCTGGTAGCAGTCTCTTACCTTTTAGGTACAGTATGGACTCCGCACATACTATATGTCAATTTTCTTGACTATCTACTGAGTGTTAGGACCTACAAAATATGAGTCATCAGGACAGTTATGATACATTTTTGCATAGAAAAGTACGTCATGATTTTCCTGACAACCTAATAGAAATTATTACTAGGAAATGTTTAAGGATTTAGTTCCTTTCGCCTTAGATATTCCTGAATCCTTCTGAAGGTCAAGGAAAGGCTACTATGAAATGTAAATGTTAAAGGAAATGACACATCTGATTTTTCTCTCTAGATTTTGGACTGGTTTGTACAGATATGTTTGGCCTTGAAACATGTACATGATAGAAAAATCCTTCATCGAGACATAAAATCACAGGTAAGCTTATTTCTACACTAGTGAGTTTTTTGGGTGTGTAGAGAGTTGTGGTCTTTTTTATTTTTACTTGTGATCTCTGGTCGACATGTAATCACAATGCATCTTTGTGGGTGTCACTGATAACTTCTAAATGGAGAAGGGCATGGACCTGCATTATCAGAGTTCTGGACCTAGTCAGGTGTGCAGCAGATTACCTGTCTTCTCCCTTTTCTGTTCTCCCTTCACTCTAATACTGGAAATCTTCTTGGTTTGCTCCCTCATTGTGATGGAGCAAATCTAAGGAAGGGATGTATGGGACGTAGTAATTGAGATGGAAGATAATTTTATGTCTGTCTCAGGTAACTTTATTCTCTCACTTTGACAGTAATTTGGATATAGACTTCTAGGTAGGAAATTGGTTTTCTAGATTTTGAAGACAGTGCTCATTTGTCTTTCGGCTTTTAGTCTTTCTGTTTAGGAATTTAAAGCCTTTATGATTTCTTACCCTTGTTTCTTTCTTTCTGGAAGATTTTAGGGTGTACTGTGTATCCCCATTGTTCCGAAATTTCAGTGTTATGGATCAGTGATGCTCAATTTTCATTAATTATTCCGTGCACTTTTTTGTTTTGTTTTGTTTTTTAATAAGGTGGGGATGCAAACAAAGGGAGAAAAGATAGGTATTTTTGCCATGTCTCCCTCTACCTGGTCCACCCTCCCGGTTAACCAGGATTACAGGCTCATGGCAAGGTACCCACCCTATTTAGGTTGGGTGGAACCAGACCTGGGCCTGCTATGTGACTCCAGGTTTGCATAATAATACCCTGCCACCTACACCACCTTGATTAGGCCATGCTATGCTCTTTTGTTACAGGAGTGTATGTTTCCTGTAGAAACCTTTCAGATACAGTTTAGCTCTTTGTTTCTTTTCTTTTCTTTTCTTTTAAATTTTTATGACAGAGGTTGTGTGTTCATGCATGTGCATGCAAGAGAGATAAAGAGAATATACCCCTCAATGAAGTCTGATTACACCACAATTCTTGTTTCTCTATTTCTCCATCCCATCAGGATCCTGGGCGCATATGCACATGCCCCGAGTATTTTTCTAACTGCTAGGGAAAAGATTCAAACCACATTTGGCTATGTAGAATCCAGCTTCCTCTGCACAGTGCTTGACTTCTGTGCCCTGAGGCTGGCCCAGCTACATTTTTTTCAAATATTGCTCTTTATCACTACCTTTATGGTCTTTTGGACATAGTTAGAATTTCTTAACTATCATTTACTTATCTACTTTGTTCTTTCGTATTTTCTGTTTGTCTCTCTGTTACCTTGTAGGTATTCTTCAGCCAGTCTCTTAGTTCACTGGATTCCTGTTTAATTTTTGTAAACTTGTTGCTTATTCTGTTGTAAGGGGGAAGGTCTTCAAAATGTTCGTGGAAAATATATATTAGGAAAAGCTATATTCATGGATTTCAAATTCTTTTTTGCACTGAAGTAAACTCATAGTCTAATTTCATTTTTCTTTTTATTTATTTATTTATTTACTTATTTTAATTTCACCAGAGAGGAAGAGAGGGAGAAGGAAAGTGAGAAAGCAAGCCACCAAGTCCAGGACTCAAACCGTGGTCAGCCATCTGGGAGTCCAGCACCCTTAACCTCCACACCACCTGCTGGCCCCTTAATTTCATTTTTTTATGAACTTTTTGAAGTCCTGTCATATTTGTTTCTTTATTGTATGACTGTTTTTTCCCCTAAGATTGCTATTAGTTAGTAGCTTTTTTATATATAACTGTTTTTATTTCTCCTTTTGTTATTGTTGTTAGAGGGCATGTGCACCCTAATAGAGGTAGAAAAAGAGGGAGGAATTATCACATCACAATCCTTTTTCTCCATATTTCCCTTTTTCAGGATTTTGGGCACACATGCCTGGTGTGTTTCTCAAGCTGCTGGGTTCATGACCTACACCGTCAAACTGGCCATGTGGGATCCAGTTGTTTTGACTACCAGGTCTTGGAACCACCTTGTCTTTTTCGTTTGTTTGTTTTGTTTTTATTGTTTGTTCATTTATATTTATTCTGTTTACCTCTTTGCAATTTTCTCAATATATTTAGTGATTTTGCAGTGTTTTGTAAAATTCTGTCTAAAGTGAATTCTAGTCTGATGCTTTTATTGGCTGATTTTCTTTGTATTAGATTTCTTTTCAGACTTTTTTTCTTTTTTTTTTTCCGGTATAGTCCTTTTTGGGAAGTGTTTTAGATCCACAGCTCATCTCTGTATAGAAGTTTCATGATTGCCTCACTTAGCCCCTCTTGGTTCCAGAATGGGGAGTTCAAGAGGCATCAAGTTCTTGTGTCTTCATACCTCCTTAGGCCTGAAAGTTCTTGTATAGGCTGATTGTCTCCGGATATAGAGTGGGAACAAGGGAAACTGGTTGGAGCTTCATACCCCATTTATCCTCTGCCACCTAAACCCATTTTATCCCATTTTACTTTATCCTGGTCAATCCCACAGTGTCATCTCTGGCCTTGAGCAAATGTGTGACTCAAGTTGTTGTCTTTTATTTTATTTTATTTTATTTTATTTTATTTTTTTAATTGCCAGAGGACATGTGCATTTGCCAGAGAGAGACAGAGGGAGGGAGAGAAAGCATTCTCAATGGGGCATGGTCATGCCACAGTCGCTTTTCCGTTTCTCCTATTGGGATTTTGGGCATCCGTGCACATGTGCCTAGCATGTTTCTCAAACCACTGGGGCTGATTTCAGACCTCCGTTGGCCATGTGGAATCTGGCTCCCCTAAACACTAGGTTGGAAGGCAGCACCTGTCTCAATTCTTCTGATAAAAAGTTTAGTTCCTTTTAACCCGCAAATTCTTGGCTTTACTGTTTCATATAGCATTGGAGTTTTGTATGCAAAATAGTGGGATAAATTATTGGAAGCATTTACACTTAATTTGTTATATTTAAGCTAGTTTGGGTTCTTAGGCAGTGATTTTTGGGGGGCAAGGGATCCAGATTTTTTTTAAATTTTTTTTTAGAGAGAGATTGATGCTATAGAAGACGTGTACTTGCCAGACAGACAGAGTGAGAAATCATCCCTCGGGGGGATGGCTATGCCTCAGTCCCTTCTCCTCCATTCTTCTTTCAGAATCTTGATCACCCGTACGCACGCAGCAAGCAAGAGTTTCAAGCCACCAGGTCCAGGACTCAAATTGTAGTCAGCTATATAGGAGTCCAGTAACATAACCACTATACTATCTGCTGGTCCTAAAAGTTTTTAATTTTGCCAAGGTCCAATTTATCTATTTTTGTCTTCTTTTTATTTTACGTTTGTGTTTCTGGTGTCATATCTAAGAAACTATTGGCCTAATCCAAGGGCATGTAGATTTACTCCTATGTTTTCCTTTAAGAGTTTTAGTTCTTATATTTAGGTCTTGAATCCCATGTTAGTTTATTTTTGCGCATGGTGCGAGATTAGAGGACAACATTTATTGTTTTGCATATAGATATCCAGTTATGTCAACATTACTTTTTTTAAGAGAGATTTTTGCAATACAGCACATGCTCTCACCAGAGAGACAGACAAAGAGACACAAAGTGAAAAGTCACCCCTGAGGAAGGATGGCCATGCCGCAATCCGTTCTCCTCCATTCTCCTCTTGAGATTTTTGGTCACATACGCATGTACCCAGTGCATGCTGCCAGATCCAGAACTCAGACTGTGGTCGACTACATGAGAGTCTGGCAGCATAACCATTACACCACCAGCATTATTTTTAACTGATTAATTTTTATGAATAATGTTGTCAACTCAGAATTGAACAGTAATAATACATCTGGGCTTTTTCTTCCTGTCTTTTACAGAACATATTTTTAACCAAAGATGGGACGGTACAACTTGGAGATTTTGGAATTGCTAGGGTTCTTAATAGGTAATCTTACAATTTTAAATTTTGTTTTGATATAATATCTTCAGTGTAACTTTGATCCATGATGATGTGTATGTGATAATTTATGATGTCTTTTTGTATTTTAACCTTCTTCAATTATTTTCTTTTCATTCTAGTACTGTAGAGCTGGCTCGAACTTGCATAGGTACCCCATACTACCTATCACCTGAAATCTGTGAAAACAAACCTTATAATAATAAAAGGTATTTAAAATGATATTCATTTTTATTTATTCATTCATTTATTTTAACTTGACCAGAGAGAGAAACAGAGCGGGGGGGAGAAAGTGAGAAAGCAAGCTACCAGGTTCAGGACTCAAACCATGGTCAGCCATGTGAGAGTGTCCAGCAACTCAATCATCACACCACCTGCTGGCCGCTTATGATGTATTTTTTTTTTCTTTTTTTGGAGAGGTTTTTGCTATAGGGCGTGTGCACTCGCCAGACAGACAGAGAGAGACAGAGAGACAGAAAGCGAGAAATCACCCCCCAGAGGGGATGGTCACACCGCAGTCCCTTCTCCTCCATTCTCCTCTCGGGATCTTGGGCACGCATGCACACGTGCCCGGCATGAGTTTTAAGCCACCAGGTCCGGGACGCAAACCGCGTCGACTATGTGGGAGTCCAGCGACATAGCCGTTACGCTAACTGCTTGTCCCAGCGAGAAATCACCCTGGCCACACTGCAATCCCTTCTCCTCCATTCTCCTCTCGGGATCTTGAGCATGCACGCACATGCTCCCGGCGTGAGTTAAGCCACCGGGTCCGGAACTCGAACCGCGCGGTTCACTACATGGAAGTCCGGCGACATAGCCATTATGCTAACTGCTGGTCCTTATGATGTATTTTTAAAAATCTTTCTATTATACTAAATTTATTAACCTTCAGAATACTTGGACTAGCAAGATGACATAATTGCTGGACTCCCAAATGGCCAACCATAGCTCGAGTCTCAGACCCAGTGGCTTGAAACTCATGGCAGGCATATGTGCATACATACCCAAAATACCAAGAAGAAAGTGGAGAAGGGATTATGGGATGGCCTACCACACTCCGGAGGGTGATTTCTCACTTCCTGCCTCTCCGTCTCTCTCTCTCTCTTTCCAGCGAACACACATGCCCTATAGTAAAAATCTCCCTTAAAAAAATGAAAAAAAAAAAAACAAACCATTCAGAATACTGTTCTAATTGAATAAGTGCACATGTAAACATATTTGTGGAAGTATTTTTTATATTTTATTTCTTCTGTGAGCGATAGGGAGACAGAGACACACCCCTAGCAAGATCTTCATACTGTGCTCTACCCCAGTCTCAACCAGCCTGGGTGAGGGCCACACACATGGCTGGTGTGCTCAGGGAGGTTCTAAACTGTGAACTCAGGACCTTTCTAGTTGCATTACCACTTCACCACCACCTGGCTCTTAAAAATATTTTTTAAATATATGGTAATGGGTATTCTGTGAAAGCTATTGCATTGTCTTGCTGAAACTACAAAAAAAAAGTTACTTAATTATTTAAGTTATAATTGTAAATAGAGTGCTTTCTTTGATATTTCTCTTTATAATAGACACTGCCTATTGAATTATAACTAACAATTATTGAACACTTACTAAATGCCAGACGCTGTTTTGGATGCATTTTATATATATTATGTGTGTGCGTGTGTTCTTTTTTAAGTTTTTTTAGATTTTTGCTATAGGGCACATCTGCTCACTGGAGAGAAACAAAGAGGAAGGGGAAAGTGAGAAATCATCCCTGGGGGAATGGCCACAATGCAATTCCTTTCTTCTCCATTCTCCTTTCAAGACTTTGGGCATGCACAAACATGTGCCTGTTGTGATTTTCAAGCCACCAACTCAGGGATTCAAACTGCAGTTGACCAGGACCAGCAGTTAGCGTAATGGCTATGTCGCTGGACTCCCATGTAGTCGACCATGGTTCAAGTCCCAGACCCAGTGGCTTAAAATCACACTGCGTGCATTGTGCCAAAGATCCTGAGAGGAGAATGGAGAAGGGATTGCATTGTGACCATCCCCCCTGGGGATGATTTCTCGCTTTCTGTCTCTCTGTCTTTGTGGCAAGCACATGCGCCCTATAGCAAAAAAAACCTCTCCAAAGTGCGGTTGGCCATGTGAGATCCAGTATATCTGACACCACAATACCTACTAGCCTAAATGCTTTCTATATGTTGACTCATAATCTTTATTATTATTTTTAGAGAGATTTTTGCTATGGGGCAAGCGTGCTCACTGTAGAGACAGAGAGAGACAGAAAGTGAGAAAGGGGGGATGGCCACACTGCAGTCCTTTCTCCATGGCCTCTTGGGATTTTGGGCATGCACACACACACGCACCCAGGATGAATTTTAAGCCACTGGGTCCGAGACTCAAACTGCGGTCGACTATGTGGGAATCCAGCAACATAACCATTATGCCATCTATCATTCCCAACTCTTAATCATTATATTAATTTTGTGAGATATAGGTATTAATCATCCCTTTTTATAAGGAAACCATATAGAGAGTTAAAAGTAACATCTGTGAAGTCCTTCAACCAATTAAGTTTTGATGCCAGTATCCAGAGTATCGTCTCTTCTCCTCTTGAAATTTTTGGGCAGTTATCTAGCTCCTTTGGCCATATTCCTAATCACCAAGTTGTAGTACGGCTAACAGATTGTGTACTATGTGAGGAGGAAGGGCAGTCCTACCATTGAATTCTAATCATTCTTTATTCTCACAAAATCCCAACCAAGGAACATTGATCTATTGGTTCTTCCAGGATTTTTCAGATTTTAATTTTAGTGAGTATTTTTTCATGTTTCTTAAAATGACATACTGCTTTTATATATTTTTAAATCATATTTTGCAAATAATTGAATGAAATGGTTTAACCTTTGTGAAATAAAAATAACTGAAGGGAAGGCTCATGAAATTTTTGATATTCTCTTAAATGTTAAATTCTTTTAATGAAACTTTAAATGCTTGGTAATCATTATTTTTCTAATCAGAACAAGATAGCTACTTTTGTCATTTGGTTATGGTTGAAATTTTGAGTAAAGGAAATGTTTTATGGAGTACTTATATTTTTTTTCAAAGCATTTTGATGCCGCTTATGTTTTCTTTAAGTGAAAAAACTTAAAGTACATTCTGATATTTAAAGAACATTTCTCATTTTTATCTTCCCTAGTGACATTTGGGCTTTGGGCTGTGTCCTATATGAGATGTGTACACTTAAGCACGCAGTAAGTAGAAGTTTCTAAAATATTTTTTAAATTATGTTAAAAAGTGAATAAAATTTCAGTTGTTCTAAAAATTGTGTTATCTTTCAGATGACTCACTGGTTCTAGAAATTCTTCTCCAAGGCAGTTTTTAAATTTGTCATCTTTCTTGAACTATGAATCTAATTTGATTTTCCTTTAATACATATGCATATATTATATATTTGTTGTTATAATGTGTATTTTATACTTTTTTCCAGAAAATTATTTCTAATGACAAAAATAAATTTTGCTCTCTTTTTAGTGTTAAATTTCTTTGCTATGAATTTGGTATTTTAACAAATTCTTTTTTTAGGTTTTTGCCATTGGGTGCATGTGCTCGCCAGAGATGCACAGAGGGGGAGTGAGAAATCATCCCCCCACCCCAAGAGATGGCCACACTGTAGTCCCTTTTCCTCCCTTCTCTTGAAATTTTTGGCCATGCATGCACTTACGCCCAGCATGATTTTCAAGCTCCCAGGTCTTGGACTTGAACTGCAGTCTTCCATGTGGGAATCCAGCACCTTAACTGCCATGCCACCTGCTGGCCCCTTAACAAATTTTATTCATTTAATTTGAGGAAAATTTCTCAAAATATTCAAGTTATTTGGGCTTTGAACTGAAGTTATTAAAGAATCTTGCTAAACATACTGAGGGATTCTTTTTTCAATTTAAATATGCTTTCATTTAGATTGTTTAAAATGTATACTTTTTTAAAAATAATTATTTTATTTTATTTATTCATTCATTTATTTTTTTTATTTATATTATCATCATAATCTTCTTTATATTACATTGGATTACATATAACTTTACATTGACTTCCATTGCTTTTTCAAAAGGGAATGCCATGCATGTCGGTCAATACAGAGACATCAATCTCCCCGCTTTATCATTCAATGTCTTTTCCATGCATTTCCCAATAATTATTATTATTATTATAATTTTTTAAAAACAGTCAATCACTATTTCTCATTTTGCTTGTTAAAAGACTT